GAGGAAAAAAGAACAAGCTAGGCTTCGAATCCGGCTCATGATAAAATTTTGACACTTATGTATGTGTAAAAAATAAGGGGACAAAGCGTGATTCCAAAAGAGGTAAACTTTAAATGCGCAATACATTAACTTAAATACTCTTAAATTATTAAATTATTAAGAATTGCGTCATCTGCATGTAACCTTTACTTATTCAGAATTTAGCTTTGGTATAACGTTTAGTGGAATCAAAAAGGGTAATATAGGCACTTCTGACTTCATCAAAGTTAAAGGTCATAGAAAAAACCGCACGGGTAAGAAAGGCCTTAATCTGTAGTAAAATTAATTTTTCATCATAGCTTAAAATTGATATCTACATAATAAAATGATACATATACGTACATACATACATTTATACATTTTAAAGATAAATTCTGTTCTATGAGTACAAAAATAGGTCTGTAAAACAAGGCATAAAATTTCAAAAAAAAAAAAAAAGTAATATGAAAAAGTTTATATTTTTATGAATATTTTCAATGAGAAATTCCAAATCCAGCATATTTTTATATCAAAATTCAGATTTTTTTTTAAATAAGAAAAGTTTGCAATAGACCAAGATAAGATATACAAAAACAAGTTCCGTTTCATTACAGAAGGATTTTTTGTAGAGGAATGCTAAGAAGTCCTATTTTAACTCATATTTTAATTCATAGGACATACGCAAGGTACCTTATCTACTGATAATTTTGCAAGATATTCTAATTTTAAAATTATACTACCAATATATGTTCTTAAACAAAAAGTCAGCATGCGTTACCAGGGTGTTTGAATAGATATCAAATTATGAAAATTTTTGCATTATTCAAAGAAAAATATACAAAAATTACGAAACTTAAATTCCCAGGTTTTTTTCCATCAGAATTTGTTTTAAAAGAGGTGTACAAATCCATATATAGACATTAAAAGTATTACACATAGGCTTCATAAGACATTTAGTGGAACTCTTCAACTCCAGGGAAGAGTCCAGTTAAGTTCAAACTATGATGCGTATGACCTTTTGTGCCTGCAATTTTTTAAAGGTATATCTGAGCTTTATGTATCAATGTGATTAACACAACTTCTCCGTAGTACACCTGAAGTTTCTCCTGCTGTAAATATAAATGCAATTCGTGATTTTTTTTTATTCAAGAAAGAGGCTTAGTACAACTTACTAGAACTCATTATATGTATTTTTTTTATCTTCAAAAGTTTTTCTTTTTTACTAATCTACGAAAGCCCATTGGGCTCATTTTCGTAGGTTAAAAAAAAATGTTCGCGTTAAAACGCGTAACTTTCGCGAAAATAAGCGAAAAGTTTGCTGTTTAACCAAGACACTTGCATAAGTCTTAACTTTCTTTTGATTTTGTGATATACACTGTAGTTTATTCATTACAATGAAAAGCAAAAGACTATTTTGATCATGGACCATCACAAGGTACAATTTTTTTGCTACTGAATCCATATTACCGTCACATTTTGTCTTTCTCAGCGCTGTTCAAACCTATCAAAGTTAATACAAGTTTGTTTTTTTTTCAAAAGTTAAACTTCATGATTATGAATTTCGGGAAAAATCAACCCTTTCAGACGTCTTTTTTATACACTCTCAAGAGAATTTTAAATAAAATTGTAAAGATTAATAAGATCTCAGAAAAATTGGCAAAATAAGGTCAATTTGTCAATTGTTTCTGACCACATGGGTGAAAATTGCATGGCAAATTTTCTTAAAGTTTTTTGTGTGCATGGCAAAGAACTTTATTCGGTAATAACCAATATTTGCCCCCCAAATCAATCTTTGATGGAGATATATTGAATTAAGTTCTTAAAGATATATACGACATTTTTGAGCCATATGTACGTTGCGTCACAAACATGACGTAAACGAATTTTGAAAAATGTCGATATTTTTCCAGCGCGTGTGTGTTCAGAATCAATATTTTGATATAATGTGTAGAATGATAATATCAATGAAATACATTGACAATTAATTTTCAAAGTTTGGAAAAAATTCCGTCATAAAAACAAAAATTGTTTTGATTTATGGTACAATTTATTGAATTCAGCACATTTCAGGAAGTTTTCAAAATTTGACTTTTCATATATACAATATATCGCATATAGTTCTTTTCATTTGTATCCGTTAGATATATAAATATTGGAGAAAACATTGACAATTAATTCAAAGTTTAAAAATTCCTTAATTGTTTTGATTTATGGTGCTAGTCCACGAACTTTTCAATAACCCCTCCCTCCTCGATAAATTATTTCAACAATATCCATTTATATTTATCACTTAAAAAGCATCATATGGCACGTTAACTCATGAAATGATACATTGTTCACTCACTTTTAAGCTATGTTTTTACAAGGTATATTTTTGTCCAAAATAATGGATTGCTTATTTTACTAGTGATACGGTCGTAGTGAATGTTACTGATAAAAAAAAACAGCTTGAGAAAGTGTCAAGTGCAAATTTTCTTTAAATAATATAATCAGTCTAAAGAATTTCTTGAATCTAACAACTGAAATACATGTACAAGAAAGTAAAATTCATTTAATTAATTGATAGGGTTTTGATTTAAAAAAAATTCTGATGACTAATCTATCCTATTCTCGCATCATTTCTCCAGGACATCTGCTGAGGAAATGATAATTTATAAATAAATTCATGAAAGTTCCTGTCAGCGTTCATGTTCTTGTCTTTCAGTAAAAATCAAGGGTCCAGAAAAACATTACTATATGCATATAATTTCGCAAAATAACGCGTTTATTCGCGATAGTTTCGCGTTATAACGCGTAAATCTAATTTTGCGGGGGGGGTTTTTTTGCGAATGTAATGCGTTATATCGCGAAAGTTTTGGGTTTATTCGCGGAAGTAACGCGTTATAAAGAGAAAGTTACGCCTTAATTCGCGAAAGTTTCGCGTTATAATGCGATTTTTCAAATATTTTTTTAACCTATGAAAATGAGCCCAAATTGGCTTTCCTATTTTACGAATCCAGTATAAGTATGGTATTAAAATAAAAGTAAAGGTGAGGACTTATATAGGCCGTGCCTGCTGTCCAATCCTGTTATGTTTATTCATGATAAAATATTGTTTAAAGTAAATTGATTTTAAAAAGTCGTTTTGGGGTGTTGGGAACATTACAAATACTTAAAACCGACTTGATCTTGGTAAACTCTAAGTATAAGTTAGGTTACCAATAGTCTTGTGGAATTAAATCCAAGTTCCTCTAAATGAGTCTGACTAATAAAAACAATGATTTTACCTGCCTTATCAGCTAACCGATAATTTTCTTCTCCGGAGTTTCCACAGATGGCTCGTATAATTTAAATGGAAAAGGTATTGATAATCCAGTACATATTGATTGTGTAATCTAGATAATTTTTTTAACTTCTAAAGTAAATATTATTTTTGAATTATTAAAAGTTAGTTCTTAAATGTAAATTCCAGTTTGGGAGTTTATATTTTATTGTAATAAATTCAATTTTTTTTTCCGATAATTTTCTTCTCCAAGTTTCCACAGATGGCTCGTATAATTTAAATGGAAAAGGTATTGATAATCCTTGAGTTAAGCCTTGGATGAACTAACAAAAAAATATCTCAAAACAAATAAGTCATTTTAACAAATAAGTCAAAACAAGTAAGTTGTCCCTCCAAGGCTTTTTTTTTGTTTTGTTTTGTTTTTTAGAATGTCATGACCTTTGTCATCAAAACTGGGGAAATTTTAAACCTTAAAATTTCCCTTTTCCAATTAATTAATTCTCCCATTAATTTTTTTGAAACATTTATAGGTATATTATTCAGTCCATGGATTTCTGCAAATTATTGAAGTTGTTAGAAAAACTTCTGTCACTGTTGCTTTTAAACGCAACGGGAGAAAGTTTTTTTTTTTCTTTTTTTTTTTAAAAGAGAAACCTTTAATCCCTTTTGTTTGAATAACATTGAATGTCTCCGCACAATTCTGGTACTTTATTTTCGCAAAAAGACTGCAACCCGTTCAAAAAGATTTTTTTTTTAAATTTTCCATTATTTTTCAGTTTTTATTATTATGGAAATTGCTTGTAAGTATTTACTTCCGAGAGTCAGTTGGCGGGTCCGTATGGACAAGGGGAGGTAGATGATATTGCCAACACATTTTAGAAAACAAGGTTCATTTACAGATGGGTGCCTCTCAATACTGTACGTGTACATTATTTAGCGTATTCAAAATTTAGTGCATTCAATGGATATGCAGTTGTTGGCGTAATCATGAATTAGCGCTACACATGTTCTTGTCGTATATTCTATTGAAAAATGAATTCCTAGCGGTATTCAAGAATTAGCGCATCCTTGTCTGCGCTAAAGCCGCTAAAATATGAAGCCCGCCTTTTAAAGAATTAAGTACACATGTATACAGTATTTTAAGATTTCATGATATTTTTTCCCTGCTTTATTGCTTGTCAAAAATTGTTAAGGATATGGTATAGACTTTAGGTGACTGGCCTTATATATTTCAGGGGCATGTGCTGATGTCAAGTTAGTAGTACTCTAATATTATATCCACAGTTTGCGATCACTTAACACAGTTTCAATAAGTTTTTTCTCTTTGTTCATGCCCCCTGAGGGCCCTTGATTGGTGAATAAACATATATTGTTATAATTATGGAATTTTAAAAAAATAAATTTAGGCCTAGTATACGTTCTACTTGACAGGTCCTTGATGCTACTACATTAATTAATCCACGCCCACTTCTGCATACAGCTTCTTTTTAAATCGTAAAAAAAAATTAGAATAACGGATGAGCTCCGATTCTATCCAAGGAGTTTCACTGAGCACAAGTGCATTAATGACCAAGTATATATAAAATGGCAGTCAGATAGTTTAACACATTGGTCTCAACGTGACATTTACATGAATTTATCAATAAACTTGGAGGTAGCGTACATTGGCAGGCGCTGATTGGTAGATATTTTTACATATATTGACACAGATAAGGGAAATTTCATGGCAGTCAGTTTACATGAGTGTGGTTGTGTTTTTAACAGGTGCAAGATGGCCTTTAATAGCTACGGGGATGCGCGCTATACCCTTAAGGATTTGCTGGAAATACCGGAGCTGCAACATCATCCTATGCTAAATAGACGTAAGTATGCACCTTTATGTATATTACAACATGCAAAACAAGTAAGCACATTGCAGCTGCATTGCGGGGATCCGCGAAACATGTATTATTATGGTTTTCTTTTGATACTAGGTCAAAAAAGAACCCTCACTCGGAAATCACTTTGATTTTTTCAAGTCAATAATGTTTCATTTCATTTATATTCTTAACTTTGCTGTATTTATTAAAAAGTGATGAAACAAAGGCCGCTTTATCCCCGTGAATATTCATTAAAGCAGAATCTGTCAGAATCTAGACATGATATTTTATATATTGTGCATGAGTTTTTTCTACTTAGTATACTTTGATGACATTTTTTGACGTCCATGAATGATGATATCATATAATGACTATAAAATTTAATTAAGTGGAAGTAGCCAGTATATTAAATTTGCATTAAATAAAGTTGAAAAATTCTGTGCATTTAAATTTGCACATTTGCAATACTTAAAATATTTATTAATTTATAATGCAGAGTCCACATAAATGTTTTAAAAAGTTTTTATCTATATTTAAACAGTATGATAAGAGGTTAAAGTATATTTTGAAAGTGCAACTTGAAATGAAAAAAAAAAAATTACTATGAATTAATATAAATCTGACAGCATCCAACTTAATTATATGAAATTCAAGATTTTCAAAAAAGAGTCTGTTTAACTGTAAATTACTCACTAAATACTTGCCTATATGTATACTTGAATAAGTTGTGTATTGATATATTGAAACAGACAAAAATTGAAGAGATATATGTTGATTAAGGAGATACTCTTTGAGACCCAATCTTATTCCATATTACTGATTAACTGAAATCATAGCTTTTACTATAGAAGAAACTCACTAAAAAAATCAATGGTTGTCAATTTCTCTAGTCATGCGGATCCAGGAATTTTGTAAAGGGGGGGGGGGATAGAAGGCAGAGGGGTCTGGTGGCTGTACTGAAGCCCCCAGTGAGTCTAAGGCAAGGTCCTTTTTGTGGTCTGACAAGTTCTTACAAATAAACAATGTTTTTTTCTTGATTTTAGGATAATGGACATATAAATTTTACATACAAAAATTTCAAACAGGGGGGGCATGCTCAGGACGCAGGCCCTGGATCCACCTTTGGTACCATACAATGTATATGATCTTAGTATGTAGTACCATACAATGTATAGTAGCTTATTAGTATGTATATATACAGTCAAACAGTCAATACAGTCAAACTTATTTTAAGAGGCCACCTTTGGGAAGTCTGGAAAACTGCCACTTAAGACAGATGGCCTCTTATTCCAGTTTGCACTCAAAGTAGCCAGTCGGTCAATAAATAAACAACATTAACCACTACACTACAGTTAAATTAATTAATCAGATAATTAAAAAGGTCAATTTCACAAAACCTTTTTATGTGTATATATATATATTAATTCATGCTTATTTAAAAAATATATCAAAGAATTCCAAATTTTTAAGGTTTTGTGCAATTGTTTCTGTTCCTACAAAACAGTTAAACTTCATACATTAATAAGTGTGCTTTTGTTACATACATTGTATATGACATGAAAATAAGAAAACTGGTATTATCAAATATTAAAATAATTTTTTCAGCTGCAGAAAAAAAAGGAGAGGTGTCACTGGGATACGGAATCGCTTCTGCCTTTCTAGGACCCACGTTATGGAACAGTGCTAGTCAGGTGGGTGGGGGCGACAATGGGGAATTCAGCTTACAGTACATGGATCTGGATGAATTTCTCTCAGAGAACGGGATTCCCTCCACAGAAGCTAAAAAGATTGACAATCAGCAATGTCAGGAACCCACAGAGAGAAAGTCAGGTAAACTTAACCCCAATTTTCTGCCATTTTGTCAAACAAAAAGGAAGATCGAGGGGGGGGGGGGGAAATGTGATTGTATGCTTTATTTTTTATTTATTGTAGCAAGAGAGTTAGAGGATAATGAACAACGTTTTTTTTTTTTTTTTTTTTTATAAATGTCTTTGTAAGAAATACTTGAGCCAGGGAAATACCTCTCAAGTTACAATAACAAAGAAGTTTTCTGACAAACCTAAGATTAGTAAACTGATGGGTAGGGGCACATGACTTCAAGGTCGCTCTCTTCAACAAGGATGTTTTATGATAGCTTGAAAAACAGCAAACAGAAACTAAAAATAGGTAAAAGCATAGAGATAATCATATATCATGTATATATAATGCTAGAAGAGAAAGCATAAAAATATGCATTTTGTAACCAAAAATGCAGTGTCAATGAAGGACAAGGGAAAGGCATGCATTCAAGATCACTGAAACAAAAGATAAAAGAGGAGGGATATGCAAGGGACAAATGCCATCTCATTTAATCCATGCAGAGATGGAAATATAATTCATTTAAGCATGTTAAAGGGAATTTCATATAATGCACAATTTAACATTTACATTATTCATCATGTTCATATACTTGTTTTCTTTTAGTCTTTTGTGGGACATATATTTACAATGATTAAATCATTATGAATGATAAAATTTTAATTATATTGTTTTCAGTTTCACCCTCAGAGGATTTCATTCAGCTACAAACTACTGCCCCCAAAGTTCCGTCTCCCCTTCCCCCCAAAAAGAGCCTGTCCCCAAAAGCTAGCCCTGGGTATGAGAGCCTCCATGAGCCCAGCCCTCCGTACTTTAACAGCGAAGCCCTGAGAAGCCCGACCTCCCCATACAAATCAACAGAGAATCCTATTGGACCAAATCTACCACAACAACAGCCCCAGGACAAGGACCTCTCACCTCAACCACACATCACTGGTAACTTGTCTGTTATTATTAAAATAAATACTAGGCTGCATCAAGTGGGTTACACGAAGGACAAACTGGGGGTGTTACTGGGAGAAAAAAGGGGAATTTTACTAATTTATATAATTCAGATTATTAGAATTTGAATTTTTTTCGTAAGGGGTAAATGGTTTTTGAGGGGAATGTTACACTCAACTATATGTAATATTTATATATTGTCTGTTCTAGAAGCCCCGACTTTTACAGTACTGCAATAAACAGTTAACTGTTGCTAGAAGCCCCGACTTTTACAGTACTGCTATATACTTTTAACTATTGCTAAAAGCCCTGATTTTTACAGAACTCCTATGTATGCTGAAAACTGTTACCAGAAACAATGACTTTTACAATACTGCTATATACTGTTAACTATTGCTAAAAGCCCTGACTTTTACAAAACTGCTAGAAGCCTTGACTTAATACAGTACTTCTAAATGCTGTTAACTGTTTCTAGTTGCCCTGACTGTTACAGAACTGCTAAATGATGTTAACTGTTGCTAGAACCCCTGGCTTTTACAATACTGCTGTAAACTGTTAACTGTTGCTATAAGTCCTGCTTTTTACAGTACTGCTATATACTGTTAGTTAACTGTTGCTGTAAGCCCTGACTTTTACAATACAGCTATACACTGTTAGATAACTATTGCTATAAGCCCTGACTTTTACAGTACTCCTATATGCTGTTTACTGTTGTTAGTTGTCCTGACTTTTACAGTACTGCTATATACTGTCAGTTAACTGTTGCTATAAGTCCTGCTTTTTACAGTACTGCTAAATCATGTTAACTGTTGCTAGTTGCCCTGACTTTAACTAATTCTATATGCTGTTAACTGTTGTTAGTTGTCCTGACTTTTACAGTACTGCTATATACTGTTAGTTAACTGTTGCTAGAAGCCCTGACTTTTATGCTGTTAATTGTTGTACTCCTACTTTTACAGTTCTATATACTGTTAGTTAACTGTTGCTAGAAGCCCTGACTTTTACAGTACTCCTATACAGTTGTTGACTGGGGTAGAGGGAAACAGTCGATCTGTTGGACGGGAGTGCAAACTGTTGCCCAAGGAAAGGCTGTAGGCCGCAGGCAACAGATTGTACTCTGGTCCAACAAGTCGACTATTTTCCAAGACTCCTGTGAACAACTGTTTCGTTATACTCCTTTTCCGAATGAAAAGATAACTCAGTTTAGCGCCATATGACATCAGTGGGCAACAGTCTTTTTTAAAAGTCAATTTTAACAGTTCTTGGACTGACAGTCAGGGAAAACAGTCAAAATTATTAACTGCTGGTCTTTTTAAGTAAGAAAAAATTATAAAGGGAATGTTTAGTAGGGTTATAACAATATATACTAGCTGTTAACTATTGCTAGCAGCACTGACTTTTACAGAACTGCTATCTGCTAACTGTTGCTAGATGCCCTGGCTTTAAAATACAGCACTGTTGCTGGAAGTCCAGACTTTTACAATACAGATTGATACTGTTAACAGTTGCTAGAAACCCTGATTTTACAATATAGCACTGTTGCTAGAACCACTGACATTTACACTATATAAATACTGCTAGAGGCACTGACTTTTACATTACTGCATTATTATATGTTATCTTTTGCTGGAAGCACTGACTTTTACATAACTGTTAGTAACACTTTGGGGTAGGATAGGGCTATAGGGCACAATAGGGAATCCAAGTTTAAATTGAAATATTTATAAGAATCTAATCTTTTAAAGTCTCCTTTTCAAGAATCACTGCACCAGAAAATTTGATTTAAGTTGAAGCATATATCTTTGGATAGTGTAGATTCTAAATTATTAAATCATGACCCCTTGGGGAAGGGTGGGGCCACAATAGGTATTAAAAGAAGGAAAATCAGATGAAGAACAGCAGGACCAAAGCTACTCAGGTGAGTGTTGTGGCCCATTGGCCTCTTGTTATTTTTTTAAAACATAAATCAGTTATCACTGAGGGACACTTGTAAACTGAAAACTGCATGATGTTTAAAAGTGGACTAGATTTTACTGCATTAACTTGTAGTGATGTCATGCATTTTCTTCCAAACAAATTAACATGCCAGCTATTAAAGGGAATCTTTTTACGATTGGCTGTGTCGTTATGGTATATGTAAATGTTGACAGCTACATTAATTCTGTTGAATGCTATGAAATGGTGTGAAACCTTTGTAAAAATTTGATATGTTAGGGTAACGGATGGTTTGATTCTGAGTGGTTAAGATGTAACGTGTCTCTTACTGCGTTTTTTTTAAACGTATTGATTTTTGCTCTAGATCTTGCCCATCTAATCCCAAAGCAACAAAATGTCATTCACTAGAGAAACCTTTAAAGAAAAATCCGGGTTAATTTAACTGCAATCTCTGGCAGAGGAAGTGTCTTTGACTTGTGTTTTTTAAAATTGCAACCTTCACATTGAGATTTTTGTCCCCCACTTGAGAAGTGGGGGATATTAATTTGGGTCTGTCCGTCATTCTGTCTGTAACACTTTCGTTTCCACACGATATCTTGAGAACCCTTTGAGCTTTTGCAATGAAATTTTGCATAGCAACTCCCTATGGACTAAAGAAGAACCCAATTGATTTTGAGGTCAAAAGGTCAAAGGTCAAGGTCATAAATTTGCAAATTCTGTCTGTTTTAACACTTTCGTTTCCGCGCGATGTCTCTAGAACCCTTTGAGCTTTTGCAATGAAATTTTACATAACAACTCCCTGTGGCCTAAGGAAGACCCCTATTGAGTTTGAGGTCAAAAGGTCAAAGTTCAAGGTCGTAAATTTATACATACTCTCTGTGTGTAACAATATCCTTTCCGGGTGATATTTCGAGAGGATTCCCACTTAGCCAAAATTCTGAATTTCTTATTCCCATCTAGCCAAAATTGGGATATTCACACCTGAGTGGTCACCTGTGTATAGTCTGTTTTCAGCTTATTACCTGTACTTATTACCTGTGGTGTATAAGTTCAAAATACATAATCATAAATACTTGATTTATAACATAATTATTAATTAATCAGGTTCTACATATAAATTATTTTAAAATTCATAACGGTACATTAAATCCATATGATTTTTAAATGGAAATAACTTATGATCAAGTTTTATTTAAAGAGAATCTAAATAAAAAACGATTTTCTTGTGAAAAAGTGAGAAAAAAATTAATTGATGGTAAAAATATAATATAATCTGATATATATAGTTTACTAGAAATACATAAAGTGTCCATGCAAAACTTAATTTAACTCTTATATCAACAGGTTTTTTCTTCTTCCCATGTATAAACATTGACAGTTGTAGGATTTTATGGTGAGAAGCTCGTAAGTTGTTAGAACTTGTTTTCAAACCATTTGTATAGTATTTATTCAATAAAATATTATCAAACAAATTCTTAATGAACAAAAAAATGTTTGAATGATAAAATAGAGTATCTATTAAAGAATATCTTGTTTTACCATATTTTTCAAACAAAACATTTTAATATATGCATATTTATTTCTAAAAGTTTATCTTTTAAAAATAAACACTTTTACATATTAATTTATCAGTCATCTTTTTCATGTTTTTCTAATAATGTGATATTTAATTTTAATAAATAATTTTATAATCAAAATAATTCGAATTGAAGTTTAAACACATGACTACAGTACATATTAGATTAAAGATTTTAAAGATATTTATAATACCGTACCTTTCATTCACATGTATTTTTAAAATATCTGTGATACAAAGTATATTAAAATTGGCACTTAATTTTTTTTTAATAAATTAAAAAAAAAAAATCAAATTAAAAAAAAAAAAATCACAATATAGAAAATAAAAAAAAGAATACAAATCGTTTATCATCTACAAATTTAAAAAAAAATTAGACTAATTTTTTTTTTTATTTCTTCATTAATAATTAATTTTATTGAAACAATTTAGAAAAAATGGCATTAATTTATTCTAAATTTAAAAATATATATATATATATATAATTTCAAATATTATTTTCAGTTACCATTCATTGCAATATAAGCATTTAATAAGTAAATTTTAACCTATTTCTTGTGGTTAATCTTAAACAGACTATAGGTCACCTGTAATTAATTTCTTTTGTTCTCTCCCTCCCCTTACCTGTGCACCATTCCCGCCTAGCCAAAACCAGTCACCTGTAACATTTTCAGAATTTTGGCTAAGTGGGAAGACACCATTTTGAGCTTTTGCAAGGTAATTTTATACCAAAACACCCTAGGGCCTCTCTCACCCTTCTCAAAGTGTCCCGTCCTGTTTGTTTTATTAGTATTTGTTGTATTACATGTCGCTATTCTTAGCACAGGGGCATGAGGAGAGTTATTACGTATAAAACAGGTTCTCGGCGGACTTTATATTCTTATTACATCTATTAGAACTGTTTGATAAAGCTTAAATTAGACACCATGCATTGTGTGAAATTTTGACAATATCGAACGTGAATAAATATACATGTATGTGACTTCATCTTTGCATATAATTTTCGCAAGTTGAAAGCAAGTCCGTGGTGTAGTGGTATGTCTCTCGCTTCACATGTGAGAGGTTACGGGTTCGAATCTCGAGCAATTCCTTTTTTTTTTTTTTCACCGAAATACTTTTTTTTACTAAATGATAGTATTCAGCATGTGAAATGAAAAAAATTATGAGGTCTAGCCTTGTACAAACTCATAAAATTATCATTACAGTGTGATAAATATTCAATATAAAAAGAATCTTCTATACACATAATTAACAATAAGCAATCAAATCTCTATATCCATATTGACATATTTCATTTGCTTCAGTATACATATATATACATTTAATAATTCTACAAATTCAGTCAGGGGGATCCAAATCCCCCCCCCCCCCCCCCCCCCCCCCCCGAACTGCACATGGTTTACTTTTTCCCTAAGCGTGGGACACAAATTCTCTGAATTAGCTTGTTTCATTCTAGTATGTTGCCTTTATATAAATAGACGAGATTCAATCCATGTTTTAGTCTTAGTTAATGTGCCTTGTGCATCAAGTTGACATGAGATTTAACTACAACAGATTTAGGGGAAGCACCAGGAATTCCCCTGCTAGAATTATAAGCATCTTGATTAAACATATTTACTACATGCACTGTGAGGAGTTTCTTCCCAAATCTGACCTTAAAATGTTAAGATAAAACTAACATAAAAAATTCATTTAGGGTTCTTGAGTACATTTTTTACTTTCAATTAACATTTTTTTGTTTACATAGAATAGTTCCTCTCTTAATTTATGTAGTAATATTTTGCTATCATCTGCATATGATGCTAATATTTCTCCAAATTTATTCGCTACTCAAGAGCATCATACCCTGAGTACGATCAATTTTTAAAGCAAGACAGCTACTCACATCTTAAGTTTATGTTACAAGGTTTCAACAACCTCATTTAAGTCAGCATTTCTCAAATACTCCTGTGTTTATAATGACCTTATTAGCAAATACTACCCATCACTTCGTCATACTATAGTTGACTTGTTTCAAACCACTTGTTAGACCTCAATTTTGTACTAAATTTGAAACACAATGTTCCATCTACTTGATCAATACATGTGGCTCACAACAGGTGTGAATTGTCAGCAGGGGATTGTTACTCCTCCTTGGCACCTGATCCCACCTCTCACATTTCCAGGGGTCTGTGTTTATATGCATTGTTCACAGATTTGTGTTGTTAGAAGTTCTTTTTGTTCAATCACTGGTTGTTATCTTTACATGTTCACCCTTTTCAATAATTTTTCATATGAGCCTCTGCTTTAGGCTATGCAAACAAAATTCTGCATTTTTAGTTCACCTGAGCCAAAGGCTTACATGATCTTTTCTGATCTTGTTTTGTCATCCGTCTATCTGTCTGTCTATCTGTTTGTAAACTTTTCATATTTTTGACATCTTGAAACCCAATTTTCTACCAAGGATGCCACAAATATTCTTGTTTGTTAAAAATTCAATTTCTATTTTGAATGAACAAAATTCCTTCAAGAAACCTAATTCCCATAATATTTTAAGCTTTTTCATTCAAAAAAACATGTACATGCATGACTGTACAGTGTATATCTAAAGACATATATTTAACCCCCCTGTGCTTCTTTATTTTTTATTTCAGTGCATAAGGACCTGACTTTATTTCCTGATATCTCTCTGAACACTACTGAGTTGATTGGTCAGAATGATGTCATTCACTGTACATTTTATGTTGTAGACCATGCAGATAGTGTCAGACGGAGAGGGGATGTGGACCAGGCTAGCTCTAACCAGTCCAATCCTCCCTCACGTAGTCCAGTGGCAGAGTACGAAGTCAATCCAAATGACTTGGCTCTAGCATCCATTCCAGGTAATATATATATATATATTTCCATGACTACCATACAGTGATAACTGTACAGCTGTCAGTTATTGAGATGAACTGGAGCAAAATGACAGATATTCGTCAATAAGTATCAGTGTGAAAAACAGTTTAAAAAACATTAGCACATGATATTTCATACTCTTACTTTCTTAACATGTTGTTAATAGTATTTCTTATAAAATTCTTTAAGGAAACTCTAGAAGATGAGGGGGGCTAGTTCCCATAATTATTTTACCCAAAGCCTCAAGCTTCTTTTCTTACAGTTTTGAACTTATTTCAATAAAATGTAGATACTTCTAAGACAAGTAGACTTTAAATACTCTGACGTAAAATTTTCTTTATCAGATTTTGATTTGAATGAATGATGTTGTCATGGTTATAAAAATAAGAAATTCAAAGAATTTTTCTCAAAATGGCATATGCATGTACATATATTACAGCTTTGATCTCAGATTTCAATTAAATTTATGGTACACAAGACATAATCCAATTATAGATGGTCTATTATGTCATGGTAACTAAAAATAGATATTTCAGTGAATTCTTTCTATTGTTTAATCATCTACCACATGTTTTTTCTTTTCTTTTCTTTTTTTTTTTTTTTGTCGATTGCACTTAAACTTGACTCAATTTGTAACAAAAAGACACTTGATCAAGGATCAATATTTTATTTATCATAAAATTGCCATGCTCAAGTCCAAGTGCTAATTTTCTCGAACTTAAATGTAAAGTAAAAACTGTATACTGTTAATAGTATAGATTTGTCCTTAATTAAATGTGTTAGCAGTATAGCTTTGTCCTGAATTAAATGTGTTAGCAGTAGTGATCGAGCTTTGTCCTAAATTGAGTCTACACTGCCACTCCTGGAAAAGGGCAAAAAACCAGTTGTATGTCAAATCACTGCAGACACGGCAAGGAATTTTATTTAAGACAGGGATTTCATTATTGCTTTCTCATTGTGCTTGCTGATTCTTTCATTAATTAAATTATTCATCAGAAAGAAGTCAGCCCAAGATCCGGTGTCTTCTTCCCCAGTTTATAGGTTTTATTCTCTAAATCAATACCCAAACATGTCATAATTACTGCAGCTAACGATCTCGGTGCAAGGGCTCACTTTAATGAGTTTCAGGAGTAATACTTCTTTTTTAAATTAGGTCACTTGCATTTTTTTCAGTTATTTTCCGTTTTCGCTTGTCAAGAGGATGTAAACTATATGTACCAGTTGTTGTATAATAAGCATATATGATTAAAAGGGATGAGGAATTGAGAATTTCATGGTCTTCACTGCGGCTCTTGCAGCCTCTGGCCGGTCTTCAGGCCCTAGAGGTTTAACCCAAACCATTTGAATGAATGTATTTGTCAAAAATCTTCTTTTTTCCTTAATCTTGGAGTTAAAGCAGTCAAATGATTAGCTTGATTATAATAAGGAATGAGACCTTTCCCAAGATTTAGAAATTCACAGCCATAGCTTCAGGCCCAAGTGCATTTATCTTATGGTCGTTTTCATCTGACATCTACTAATTTTCAATTTGTGTTGCTTGCAGGTCTGATGGATTTGGTAGTTTTAAGATGTTAAGAAAGTGAATTAGCAGATTTCAGAAAGTCTAATTTTAATACGATTGGTTCCAAGGTCAAGGGATCAGTCCCAGAGTAGATCTGTTTGTACATTAATGTACCTTATTTCTGTCCTCATAAACTTCATAGAGATATTGGCTTCATGTACAGAGACTTTATTATCTATCACCAACACAGAATTTTTGTCACAAATCAGAGTTGAATTCCAGGTGGGATTAATGTGTTTATTATAGCCTGAAAAACTTAGGTTAGTGTAAAGGCCTATGGGCCTCTTGTGAGACAGTGGAAATATTATTTATAATTAATTTCTTTAAAAAATGTAGGACAAGAAAACTTTGATCCCAGGAAGTGTCAATTTACAGATGAAGAATTGAAGCCCCAGCCCATTATCAAGAAATCAAGAAAGGTAACAAATTTGATATCATTAATAGAAACCCACTCAAAACAAACTCTCTGTACAGTGCAACCTGAAAACTTCTAATTCTGATGTTTTTCATGCAATTAGAGTATCTACCCTATAATTTACACAACTAACTGACTGTATTGATTTTTATTCCTTCAATATAAGGTAATTTATATACCCCATCAATCAAAATACAAGATCCAACAATTATTTTTAAGACAAATAATGAATGACAAAGTTACAATCCTGAAAACTATAAAGGCCAGTTTGAGAATTCTATGGTTTTTTCCCAAAGTTGGTAGTCAAGGGACATAACTTTACAAAGTGTAATTTCAAGTATATTTTGTTGTCTTCATCTGGGAGTAAATGGCTGTTTCTCATAATGAAAATAAAATAGATACAATCAGTACATACTTAACACCTATAAAGCCTATGATTTTTTCAGTGTCCAAAATACTTTTTCATTTATTTTTAGTTTATGGAAGGTACAAATTTCAGCTTTATATGCATGCAATAGGGGGAAAACTCAAAACAAACTCTCTTTAATGATAAAAAAATTAATGAAATAATATTGTATCATTTGCAGTGATAAAAATTGGAAATGGAAAAAAAATTGTATTTGTTATGCATGCATGTTTTGATATTAAATAAAGCATGTTGACATTTAATGAGATATGTCCAGTGGATTGTATTTGTTGGACTTTTCAGGATTTTGACTGATTTAATAAGACATCCGGTGGATTGTATTTGTTGGACTTTTCAGGTTTTTGACTGATTTAATAAGACATCCAGTGGATTGTATTTGTTGGACTTTTCAGGATTTTGACTGATTTAATAAGACATCCGGTGGATTGTATTTGTTGGACTTTTCAGGTTTTTGACTGATTTAATAAGACATCTGTTGGATAGTATTTTGTTGGACTTTTCAGGATTTTGACTGATAATAGACATCCAGTGGATTGTATTTGTTGGACTTTTAGGCTTTTGACTGATTTAAAAAGACATCCGGTGGATTGTATTTTGTTGGACTTTTCAGGATTTTTGACTGATTTAAAAAAATTGGTTTGTTTGCATATTTTTTGACTTTTCAAGCTTTTGACTGATTTAATGAGACATCCAGTGGATTGTATTTGTTGGACTTTTCAGGATTTTGACTGATTTAATAAGACATCCGGTGGATTGTATTTTGTTGGACTTTTCAGGCTTTTGACTGATTTAATAAGACATCCGGTGGATTGTATTTTGTTGGACTTTTCAGGTTTTTGACTGATTTAATAAGACATCCTGTGGATTGTATTTGTTGGACTTTTCAGGTTTTTGACTGATTTGATAAGACATCTGTTGGATAGTATTTTGTTGGACTTTTCAGGATTTTGACTGACTTTATGCAAAATAATTTGCATACACACATTCCGCAGTTGGATTGTATTTGTTGGACTTTTCAGAAATATTTTAACTGAATATTAATGAGAACATCAAAAACTGGTGGATTTAATATTTTGTATTTCCTTATATGGACACTTTTCAGGCTTTTGACTGATTTAACAAGACATCAACAATGTGTATAATTATATACAATTTATTATATTATTAGGAGCAACAATTTTAAATGAAAGAAAATTACACATTATGTTCATAACCAATGCATTGGACTTTTCAGTATTTTGACAAACATACAGAACAGCATATGGATTGAAAGTTTAAACTTTTCAGCTTTTATAATTGATTTAAAAAAAATATGTGAATTGCATTTTTAGACTAATTAAAACAGAAATTTTTGACTGATTTAAAAAGACACTATTGTTGGAACACATAATATTTTGTTAAGAATTTTTAGACTTTTTATATCAACTTGATTTAATAACACATTCGACTTTATTGTATTTGTATTAATAACAGCTACAATTTTAAATCTTTAATAGGAACATCCGGTGGATTGTACTTTTTGTTGGACTTTTCAAGATATTTTGACTGATTTAATAAAATTTTCATCCGGTGGATTGTATTTTGTTGCATGTTTAATTTTCAGCTGCTCTTGGTTTTTGACTGATTTAAAAAAACACACACTGTGGATTAAAATTTTAATTGGACTTTTATAATCTATATTTTATATATACAAGTTTAGTTTCTTCAATTTTGTGCCAATTTGTTTACAATAATTAAAGGCATTCATGATTATTTGATCAGTGATTTAATTAAAATTTTTATTTTGACTGATTTAATAAGAAATATATGGGTCATATATATATATTGGACTTTCCCAATCAGGTTTTTGACTGATTTACAAAAACATCCGGTGGATTGTATTTTGTTGGACTTTTCAGTATTTTGACTGATTTAATAAGACATCCAGGTGGATTGTATTTTTTACTTTATCAACAGACACACATTTTAAAAACATATATTGTATATAAAAGACATCCTGTGGATTGTATTTTGTTGGACTTTTCAGGTTTTTGACTGATATAATAAGACATCCGGTGGATTGTATTTGTTGGACTTTTCAGGATTTTGACTGATTTAATAAGACATCCGGTGGATTGTATTTTGTTGGAGTTTTCAGGTTTTTGACTGATTTAATAAGACATCCGGTGGATTGTACAGTGTATTTTGTTGGACTTTTCAGGTTTTTGACTGATTTAATAAGACATCCAGTGGATTGTATTTTGTTGGACTTTTCAGGTTTTGACTGATTTAATAAGACATCCTGTGGATTGTATTTGTTGGACTTTTCAGGATTTTGACTGATTTAATAAGACATCCGGTGGATTGTATTTTGTTGGACTTTTCAGGCTTTTGACTGATTTAACAAGACATCGTGTGGATTGTATTTTGTTGGACTTTTCAGGTTTTTGACTGATTTAATAAGACATCCTGTGGATTGTATTTGTTGGACTTTTCAGGTTTTTGACTGATTTAATAAGACATCCGGGGGATTGTATTTTGTTGGACTTTTCAGGATTTTGACTGATTTAATAAGACATCTGTTGGATAGTATTTTGTTGGACTTTTCAGGATTTTGACTGATTTAATAAGACATCCGGTGGATTGTATTTGTTGGACTTTTCAGGTTTTTGACTGATTTAACAAGACATCCTGTGGATTGTATTTTGTTTGACTTTTCAGGCTTTTGACTGATTTAAAAAGACATCCGGTGGATTGTATTTTGTTGGACTTTTCAGGATTTTGACTGATTTAATAAGACATCCTGTGGATTGTATTTTGTGGGACTTTTCAGGTTTTTGTCTGATTTAATAAGGCATCCTGTGGATTGTATTTTGTTGGAGTTTTCAGGTTTTTGTCTGATTTAATAAGGCATCCTGTGGATTGTATTTTGTTGGAGTTTTCAGGTTTTTGACTGATTTAATAAGACATCCGGTGGATTGTATTTGTTGGACTTTTCAGGATTTTGACTGATTTAATAAGACATCCTGTGGATTGTATTTTTTTGGACTTTCCAGGCTTTTGACTGATTTAATAAGACATCCGGTGGATTGTATTTGTTGGACTTTTCAGGTTTTTGACTGATTTAATAAGACATCCGGTGGATTGTACAGTGTATTTTGTTGGACTTTTCAGGTTTTTGACTGATTTAGTAAGACATCTGGCGGATTGTACAGTGTATTTTGTTGGACTTTCCAGGTTTTTGACTGACTTAATAAGACATCCTGTGGGTCGTATTTGTTGGACTTTTCAGGTTTTTGACTGATTTAATGACATCCGGTGGATTGTATTTTGTTGGACTTTTCAGGTTTTTGACTGATTTAATAAAACATCTGGTGGATTTTATTTTGTTGGACTTTTCAGGATTTTGACTGATTTAATAAGACATCTGTTGGTTAGTATTTTGTTGGACTTTTCAGGTTTTTGTACCAGAAGATTGTAAGGATGAGAAGTATTGGTCGAGGCGTCTGAAAAACAATGTAGCGGCCAAACGATCACGAGAGGCCCGCCGTATCAAAGAAAATCAAATCGCACTGAGGGCTGGGTATCTAGAGAAAGAAAACAACGCACTCAAAGATGAAGTCAAGAGGATGAAGGAAGAAAACACAAAATTATTAAAAAAGCTGTCTCAGTACGAACAGGTGGGCAAGTAGTACCGTCAAAAAGGACAATTTTTGTCATGGAAAGAATTATGGTGTTAGACATCCCAATGTTATAGGCCACAGTTTGTAGATGTCTGAAGATTATATCCTTTACAAGTGGGATATTGAAAATCACCAGTTATCTCAAATATTTTTTAATGTTAGTTTTTTCACATATTCATTCCAACCAAAGGATATTTGAGCATTTTAAAAATCTAAAATCATCATTTACTAGTGCATAATTTGTAAATAATTGTATTATTAAAATTCATTCAAAACAAGAATATATATGAAAAGCATTTCTGCAAACTAATATGACGTGAATTTTTAAGAAATGAATAAATTATATTTATCAGAAATGCAGGATTTGAAAATCGTATTCATAGATTACAATATATACATGTATCAGCTGTAATTGTCTCATTGATTTTTTTTACCTTCTATATGATGGAACTACATTGTAAACAACTTAATTATAAGAAAGACAGGTGCTTTATTTCTTTAAGATGGAGAAATATACATAATATTTTACCATCAACTTTGGAATTTTTATTATTTTTTTGTTTGATTATTATCATAGAAGTGCTATTCTTACTGGTGTGTTTTAATATTCACTACATTTATTATTTTATTACGTACTACTATGTAATGAATACCAAATTTGTTATACGCCTTCGCTGTATATTTACGGATCCTGCAGGGCTGATACAGATTTATATCACACCCCTGATAGATTTTTCCTAAACAAAAACAGTGCTGTTGGTTACATATAGTACAGTACCTATTTCTTTGGTCACATTCTCTTCAATATAAATTACTGCTTTTTGATATAATAACTTAATAAGCTATAGTCAATGATTTAAAAAAAAAAGTTTGTTTGCTCAATATTAAAGACGTGAGCTGTCAATTGTATTTTGTTTCTATGTTATATACTGAAAATTTTAAGACATATTAGTTACCCTTTCATATCACACCCTGTATCAGCCTTCTCCCACTATCAGCCCTCGAGCCTTCTGGCCTCGGGTTAATATTGGTGTCTCGGGCTGAAACAGGATGTGACTTGGAAAATCGTAAATGTCAGTATTATTCTCTCTGTACTTTAGAGTTATATCACAAGTTTGTATAGAAATATAAGAACCTGATCATGACAACATGAATATGATGCCTGTTTTTGCTGAAGCTGTGCAGATTTACTTAGCAGTAGGGGACGGGACTGTTAGTATACTGATCGGATTATTTGTCATCTACCAGTGACAGCTTTCCTGGTGTTTTAACTTGATACTCGCGCCTGCGACTGACATTCTCGGTGGGAGCTGAGATAGATGTAGTCATTTCATCTCACCTATCAGCTCGTAGCATTAAAAGTTGAAATCTCTGTTGTGACTTCACCCAGCAGCTTCTGTGCAACTGTTACAGTGGATCTTTGTCCTGGTGTTTTAGCTTACCTGTAAACTGTCTATGTATTTCCATCTTCTTTTGATTACTTCATGAGCCAATTTCAACCAAACTTGGCATATGAAATATAAGTAGTTGAATTTTACAGGAAAAAATTATGTTTGTCTCATTAGAAGAATGATTTAAAGTAGAATTGTCATTGATGCAAACACGCAATATGAAATATATATAAATTGATGCATAATATAATCAAAATTATGACTACAGGGTACATTGCAATTTAGATAAAAAAAATTGAAATGATTATTGCTTTTTTTTCATTCAGTGCTGCAGGATATTAATACATAATCATTTGTCAAATTTAACATTCCATTAATCTCACTCAATATTTGATTTTACTACTGGTTGAAATAGGCAGTGATAAAAGAATCCATTTTCGGACTTTTTTTTTCAATTTTCTGTATCATTGAAATGATCTCTCCATATAGTCATTGCAAATCAGAAATTTCCTTGTTAAGTATACCATGTTTATATAATTTATATATCATTTGTTCAATTCAGAAGTTCATTTTACACAAGTGAAAATTTCATAAGTAATACTTGTTTTATTCCCATATAATAAAACAAATTCTTCCATTATTGATTACCTGAGATGTATTACTTTTTAAAAACAAAAACCCAGTGGATGATTTTAGATGTATCAGTTTTGACCTTTTGAGTTGTATTATAAATCCCCGTCGCAACTAGAGCTATCTACTGCACCTTCCCATATCACTGTAAACAGTCAAATACTTCACACTTTAAAGCAATCCCAACAAACAATGATTTGAGCATTATTATAGGATTTTTTTCTTAGCATTTAACAATATGATCTAAATTATCAATGAAGCTATATAAGATCTGTAAACATTCTTTTTTTCTATATATTTGGTCATATTTCAAGAGAATTACAATTTCTGTTTAATATGTGGGTATAGAAAATCATGCAGATTTCTTAGATTAATTTGTCACAATACGCTGTACATGCACTTTAAAGTACAATTCAGGAGAAATATGTGGCAGTGTACTTGCAGTAAATAATGATAACAGCATTTGGACAAAACAATTTCTCTCAGTATTGTTTGCATATTTTATAATGATTAAATAGAAAAAAAAAAATGCTTCTAATAATTGTAGTATTTCAGTTATTTATTTTTCCATAATATCAGTGTTATAATTAAATTTGAAACATTTTGCCGTATAAGCATAAATATAAAATGGAGGGTTCAAGCTGATTTTTGATGGAATTGTCTTAATTTATTCTAGTTTATAAGGAAAACAGGGGAAATTGAGACTTCACTGCTAATGCCTGTACAATTATCACTGTGTACATCCATCGATCCAATCTGAATTAAAAGTGGGGTGATTGTCCAAAGGAAGACATATGAGTTAATTATAATTGATTATAAGGATGATAGTGAATATTTATTTAGTAAAATTAATAAGTCATTTGCTGAAAAGAGTAAGATGATATCGAATATTTATTTAGTAAAATTATTAGGTCATTTGCTGAAAAGAGTAAGATCAAAAGATGACCACAACATTGATATTTGGCCTGGGGACCATAAAACTGTAAAGACAAGCTCACTTTTAATCTAAGTCTCACTTTTTCCAAAGGAATTAATAGTGAGACTGAAATCAAAAGTGAGTTCATCTCAGTTTTATGGCCCAACCCTGATTAACAACTGTGAGTTCTTAGGGGTAGAAGGACATTATCAGTTTAATAATTTGTATTGATACTCACAAAATTTGCCAAAATCAAAATATGATGTTTTTTTTAATTGATATTATTAATTTTGCAGGTGCAAACACATTCAGTAAAACACACATATAACAAATTAGTGCCAGGGGCACTGGATTTTGCTTCATTATAAACATTCTTTTACATTTGTAAGCTTCTTGATATGCTTTAAACTCACAAGGAATGAATGATTCACTTGGCTATAGCATGAGTTCATTAGAAGCATGTTTTACTGTTTATTCCATGATATGTTACATACTCTTCACTTGGTTCCTTACAATAAAATGAAGCTTTGAGATCATGTGTTTTATTGGTAAAGCTTATTTTAAAGAAAATGTACTTATTTTATGTAGTAGTGTTTTGAGAGGTGTTGTAAATATTATTTTAAAAAGTTGGTAAACATATAATATTGGCTCTAGATAATGGTTTTAGCTCATCTGAGGCAAAGGCTGAGCTTTTCTGATCAAAATTTGTCCAGTTTGTGTGAGTTGTTGTCCTTGTTGTAAACTTTCTATTATTTGACATTCTAAAGATTATTAAGAACCACTGGACCAATTTCTACCAAACTTGACACAGAGTACAGTCCTTGGATAAAGGAAATTCAAGTTTCTAAAAGGGACACATCCTCTTTCAAGGGAAGATCATTAAGAAAAAGTAACTAAAAAATGGGGTGGAGTCATTTAAAAAAAGTCTTTCTGCTTTTTCAAGAATCACTTAGGCCAGAAAAGATGAAAATTAGATGTGAAAGCTTTCTGACATAGCATAGATTGGAGGTTGTTCATGTCATGGCTCCTGGGGTAAGGTGGACACTATGGGCAATGAAAGTTTTTCCATAGGAAAAAAAAAATATTGTCAGAAATCTTTTTTTTCACAAGGGTGAACAAGTTTACATGGAAATACATGTACTTAGGAAAAAGAATCTATAAAAACAAGAAGGGTCATATTAACTACTCAGGTGAGCATTGTGACTCATGGACCTTTTTTTTTTTTTGGCCATGCATGTTGTAAACAAATCTTGTCATATTACTGATTCTATCTGTGTATGATTGTATCAACCATTTTATTTACCATTACTAATTTACTGTTATGGATTATATCTTGGGTACGTTTCTGAATTTGGCTTTATAATACAAGAGACAATAGGAATGTTTTAAATGAACATGGTTTGTCCTAGATCTGTGACCCTGAAAAATCTGCAACATAATTAAAGCTTTCAATTATAGTATAATGGCAGAACTGTATTTATGTGCATTTAATCTAGACAAGACTTATTTGTAGACTTCTCTGTAATTTTTTTGTAAAACTTTGTCTCTTTCACATCCCCTTCAATGATTATGCTTCGAAGAAATCTTTTGTCTCTCATCTTTGAAGCTGATAATGTTATTATCATTTAAAATTCATGTGAGTATTAATCAGGGTTTAAAAGCCTGAATATCATATTTAAATGGTTGACTTCTGGTTAAATCTTTGACCTCGAATTTGTTGGGGCATTTGTCTTTGTTTTATGGGTATAGTTCATGTAAGACTGGTCACAGTTTATTACTTTTATCAATATACATGTATTTTTAACAACTTCTTGTTATTTTACATACAATGTATGTACATACTGTAAACATACTTTTTTTCCTCAAGTTCACAATTCAGTACAATCAGAATTTCTATAACCAATTAGCTGGTATAAATTTATGCCAATTTCTTAGATTGGTTGCCTACATATGCCTTAAATATACTTTTAGTTTGCCAGAGAAATTAAATGGTAATTTATTTCATGTAGGACATAATATGGATGAACACCATGTGGGAAAAAAGTATTTCTACAGTATGTAAAATGAATGAGGGTTGGGCCAAAAAAATTAATAAATTGTTTCTCAGGCACCGCCGCATCAGTTCAAAAACGGCCGCATTGATCAATTTTATTGACATATTGAAAAGGGAAATAACTCAATTTTCTATTTTTCCAAGTTGAAAATGAAAATTGAGTTATTCCCCTTTTCAAAAATGCTAAGATAGACGTTTTTATTAGGAAAACAACACATTTGTTCTAAATTTACAATATTCTATAGTTTTACTTTTAAATGAATGTTTGGAATAACATTATTTAAAGTTGAATACATATTATAACTAATTTCAGAGACCAAAAATTAAGAATTGGTAGATATTATCATTTTATTGAACAAATGGCTTAAAAAAGATGTAAAACCTGCTACAAAAAAAAAACAAAAAAAAAAACTGCCTGCCGCATTGAATTTTGAATTTTTTGGCCTGAGAAACAATTGATTAATTTTTTTTGGCCTTGTCTACAAATTGTGTAGACTGAGGCTAGTACCGGTATATCCTTTGTAGCATTTGTGATACAAGGGTACCACAAAATGATGCTTATATCTGCAGAATTTTGAGCAACCCTCATAAATAAATTTATAGTGTATTTGTTAATATAAATAATATGTTAGCCATTACAGTTAAGAGATGTAGAGAAAACATGAAATTGTTTGTTATTTAGATACATATACTAGTATATAATGCCAAATATAACATAAAGATTGATGTAGATAATGCCCATATTGGTGCCTTGTGAAGGAACTCTTATTTAGGAGAAATGACCATACGAAATGTCATGATTTTGCTATTAAATCAGGTAATTCGGAAGATCGAAGAAAAAAATAAAAAGTTTTTTTTTTATCAATCATGTGAATCCCTGTGAAAATTTTCCTGCTATTTGTTCTGTGAAGACCAAGGTGCATTATTGTTTTGTATTATTAGGACTAATTTTGTAGTGTGTAGGGAAATTTCAATTAGACTATCAATATTAAATATACAAAATGTAGTTCCACTTGATGCAACATTGTACCGGTAATTCATATTTGCCTGCTCTGTTACTTACGATTTGAGGAATTGTTATAGTTATTAATACATGTATTTTTATCAAAATCAAGGATTTTTGAAAAGCCTTATGGTAAAGATTTTTTTTCAAAGCTTTTATTTTACTCTGTTTATGTTGTAAAATGATTTTTAAATGAGATATAAATATATGTATATATATATTTGTTTTGTTATTGATGTAATAAATATTGTTTGCAGCAACCATTACTTGTCATTTTGTTGTTTTTAAAAAAGACCAATTTTCTTCCTTTTGGTGACTTTTTTATGTTCATTGCCCGGGGACAATCCTGAAAATGGAGGTACAGCAACAACCAAACAATAAAGATTACAGATCATCTCAAAAAATATAAAGCAAAGTCTCACAATAATATGTACTACAGTAGTGTAGATGCCTCAGTTATGCAGTTTGGTCTGGTAGTTACTTGGGAATGTGATTGCTCCAAAAACTTTGTTTTATGTCTTATTACCTGGAATAAATAAGAGAAATATTGGAGGAACTTCAGACACTTTGTGCCACAACATATTCAAGAAGTGATGTATATCAAATGTGGATAAAAAATCTCCAAAGGACTTTTGAAAATTTTTAAATTTTAAAACTTTTCAATTACATGTAAATAGCATTAAGACATCAACTTTAACCAAAACAAATGATATTCGGGTAGAGTATCTTCTACCACATCAACATCACTTAAATCTGGTCATGAAGACTATTTCTAATCTAATTTTTCCATTTACAACAAATAAATTTTCTGAATATTTACTACAATTCTTACAAAAATGTAAAAGATGAAGCTTATGAACAGCGATCATTATAAGCAATACAGATTTGTGAAGAGGGGTCAAAATGGAGATTCCTGAGGTAGGATCAGGTGCCTGTGAGGAGTCAGTATCCCTCACTGACCGGTCACACCGTGAGCCCTATTTATTGGTCAGGTAAACAGAGCTTTCCTCATTCAGTATAAAAACAAGATGTGTTTGTGAAACACCGAATCTTCCATAACGATGGCATAACAACGGCCTAACAATTGGTATGAGACAATTTAAGTCAGCAGGAATACGACCCAATGATAGGTGGATTTGCTAACAAAGTCATTATAGAGAGTCGCGGGTTCGAATCCCACTGCGGGACGTGGGGACCAGTCCTTAAGATGAGACCGTATAAACCGAGGTCCCGTGTCAGTAGGTGGTGGCACGAAAAAGACCCCTCCCTGATCAATGGCCCTGAGTGCCGAGTATAGGACAAAAGAACTACGTACTCTAACTCTTGATTCCCGCCTACATTTTGCACCCATTAAATTCAATTTTAATGGCAATTTGGTCATTAAATCTTTGTTTAATACAAAGAACAGTTCTATGGTAATTGATTAATCATTTTAATTCCAGCGCTAGATAGTAAATTATCATTAATTTCAGCTCTCGAAAAAAGGGGGGTAGACGATATTTTCTAGTGAAATCGAACTTTCAAGAATCACCATATTTTGAAATAGTTTTAAATATGATAAAATGTATCTCATATCTTTTCATATGTTTTACGCAAATAAATAAAACATATATAAATTGATAAAATACAATTATTTAGCTGAAAATAACTTTAAAATTAGTGAAAAATCAGCATTTTTTTCGTTTTTTGTCTATAAACATATGTTCCCCCCCGTGAAACACAAAACGCTTTGGCATAAATTTGTAAAATGACAGTCCATATTACCTGTAAAAAGAAATTTTTGTTTCACTGGGGGGAAAGATGTTTTAAAAATATTTTCCGTTTTCCATTGATTTCTATAGTGAAAAACTCAAGTTTTACCAAAATTATAAAGTTATCTCTCTTTGGTATCCCAAAAAAGTAATGTTTTATTAAAATTCATATAAATATCTATAAAAATTTTGAAAAATCATTCGAATATGTTAACTTTTGAGAATTGACTTAGAGGTAGGCGGGAGAACAATACTATCGTTCGTGGTTCTTTGCAGAATCATTATAGCGATCTTTGCAAACTCGTCACCGCCCCCTTGATTATCCATGGTACACTCGATAAAATGTACTTTAACTATAACATAGAACTCACCAAATGCTGACTTTAAACGAGTTTGTTGAAATTCCTGTAACATTTATGTATTAGTGAGTAGCATGCCTCGATTTAAGAATTGATCACACTTAGAGAAAGATCTTGAATGGTGGGTACGTCAGGAGACAAACACCATATTGGAATATTACTACATATATAGATTAGGAAATTTGGCAATGGGAATGCTGAAGTCATTTTCACATGGTTTTTTTCGTTTATACTAAGTAAAACATCCAATTACGTATGATGTGACAGACTCCGTGTTATTTCAAGTTCACTGGGATATATCGAGTCGATATATGAATGAAAATAAGAATTGTTAATTGATAAAACACCGTACGTATATTTGAATGTCGAACTGAAGTCCACAGCAAGTGTTTTCCTCTTCTCATGCATCTTTTTAAAATCAACTTCAGAGTACTTGTGTGAACAACCGGAGTTTTCAGCGAAGTAATTTTGTTGATAACCAAGCACAAAATGGGAAAACCTCCGTTCCGTTTATTTTCTGATACCGAAAGTCTAGATGAAGAGATCGTGAGGAATAGCTGTACAAAGTTTAGAAAAAGAAGTACGTTTTGATGTTTAAGAATTTTGAGAGAAAAAAAATTGCTGATTTAAAACCAATTCTCTTGAATCAATCTATAAATACTACAAATTGGCTAGAACTGGTTTTATAAGTAATGTCATGTTTTGAAAAAATCTACTGGTTTCTTCCATCAATGTAACCTTTAGCTATACCTATTGAAAATACCATGTTTTAAGAGTAGAGGAAAATTATTTTTCCATTGTTTTTAATTTCTTTTCATAATACATGTGAACAATTTATACGGATTAAAATATAAATAATATTATATTTCTCTTTATTTGTTCAAATCGGCTCTAAGGGTTGCAGCACTTGTAGAATTATTTTTTTTAAAAAAAAAACGCTTCCCTTATTAGCGAAGAAAGTATTTCATTGTTTAAGTATCAGCATTTTGAGTAGTTAATTAGAGTTTATTAATTCGAAAATGAACATGTAAACTTACAGTTTTAAAATTTATAGTGTATTTATATTTCCTTAAACTTGAAAATTATATATGAATTATTATACAAGTAAATAATCATAATTAATCATGAACGTCAAACGTGCAATTTCGTCCTGCATCTCTTTAATTGTAAATTATGAAATGGGTATACAATTAAATGCAAGTACATGTATATTATAACTTGCTTCCGAAACCTTCTTGTTAAACCACTTAATTGTATACTTGAGACCAGCCTCCAACCCCTCCTCACCCCACCCCACCACTACCACTGTCCCTTTACTGAAATGGTCGTCCAATATATTTTCAATAAATACGGATGGGGGAGTGGGAAACTAGTGTTTCAACGTAATAAGGTAAAGACGGGCCCTTGACATGTTTTGATGTCACAATGATTCATACTTCTAATTAAAATTTACAAACAATGTAAGTGGGCCACTACAGTTGTCAACGTTTGGTATGCATGAGTGACTAAGAGGCCCCTCTTAATGACGTCACCGTCCTCTTCATTATATATATGTTCCCTCGTTAGAGCTGTGATTAGAAAACAATATGTCTGGTACAACGTTAGCCGCCGTGTTCCTCCTTATCACCGTGTCCAATGCGTTTGTTGTGGATATGTTCCGGGATCTGGTATCGTCCTGCAGTGACGCCAAGAACCCGACTAATCCAGTACAAGGTAGGGAAGAAAGATTTCTCAGCCATTGGGGGCATATTTATCATATTTATATGGGTTTATAAAATAAGAATTTTCGCCTAATATCAAATACTACTATTAACGGACTTTTGAATGTCTTTCAGACGTGTCCCAGACTTGTTTAGAGCACGCGGCGTCCGGTTCCTGTAATTTTTACGACTGTTTTGAGCAGAGATTCCCATGTGGGAACTGTGGATTCAGCAAACATTACGGCACATATGACTGCGAGAAGTTTTACCAACCGGTCTACTACAACCAGTTTAACGACCTGGTAAGTATCACACATGTACAACCAAACGTTTAGAGATTCTCAATCTGCTAGATTGACAGGGTTATATTTTCCCAACCATAACCGAACTCAAGATATATTTTAATCATATGCAAGTAATGAATGTATTTATCAAAACAAACAACTATGTTATAAGTTCAAATCAACAAGGAGAAGATTTTGATATAATAAACCTTACTTAGACTTATAAGCATCTTTGTAAGACTTAGTTCAAGGGTTCCAAAACGAGCGGATCTATAACCCTTAAAGATAACTTAGAAGTAGAATGGAAAGGAAATGTAAATATATAATTGCGTATGAACTGTTCTCCACTTGACACATTAAACGCAACACATTTTTGTACTTTGCTTACTGTTTTGGGGTCCACCACATAACTTACCTTTTTTCATTATTTTGCTCTGTATACCAAGTGAATTTTATTTGTTATGGCTTGAAGGGAAAACGTTGGATAAAGGCAACAGGGGACTGCCTTATAAACACACTGAAGCAATTCTACACACAAGACACGGTTCGCTGTCGAATGGTCAAGACCACCATGATGGACCACGTGTCTACGTGTTACCTACATAACGCCGCCAATATCAGCTTCTGTGACGTCTTCTGGGACAACAGAGATGCCTTGATGGGAGTTTACGAAGCCAGCAGCTTCCTACAGCCCACAGAGATTCATAGGTACAGGAATAAAGGGAACACTTCGTTATTTTATGCTAATCTTATGTATGAATACTGATTTATAGCAAGTTAATATTCCTATGACAATACATTTTTGCTGTGTTTAGGCTACGTTTTCAATGGTATTTAATCTTTTAGTCAAACGGAATATGTACAGTCAGATGTAATTTGAGTGCTTTTCTGTTTTCTCAACAGGGTACTATTCGAGGTCTTACAGATAGGGACCAGTTGTACCGGAAGTCGGGCATCGGAGTTCCGGACGCTAATGTCGGAGAGATTGACACCCGTCGTCTCTCAGGCCGGAAGTCGGTTACAGGAAGTTGGGAGACAGATAGGAAGTGGATTAGAAGAGGCAGGGAGACAAGTAGGAAATTGGTTTAGTAACATCTTCACCAAGTAGAAATCCAGTGTGAACCATCTCAGGAAATCCAAAAACTTTGCATAATGTTCAACTTCTTGAGCATTGTCTAGCTATTAATAAATCCTTCTCCGGTGACTATTCCAAGAGGGTTGTAAATATCGTGATATTTGTCGAATTTGTAACAGTTTTGACATGTCTCGTAAATAAAATTAAAAAGAATTTCATTCAAGTCAATTATTTTGATTTTAAAAATTATGTTGCAGAACTAATGAAGTAAATCATGTTTGTGATACTACCCCTGTACTAAACGGACTTCTTTCATGAAAGGATGCAAATTATGTTTTGTCATGAAAGTGTACTTATGAGGTATAGCGGGTCATTGCTGGTAAACGAAATTTTTTTTACAAAACTTTGAGGATAAACTGTCAATAAAATGGAGTAAAGACCCACTCATATTAAAGGAACAGTGTTATACTTTGAGAAAATGATTCTTTTTGCTCTCGTAAGTTTGCGTGATCTATTTTCATAGGCAAATAATTTCAAATGAATTTTTGCGAGTTTTTTGCAAATTGTCGAGATTTTACTTATTATATAAAATATGCTCAAATAATTAATGAAATATCAAAGAAAATGTTGTTAAAATTGAGATTTAATTTTTCATATTCATGTTTGTCGCACTATACCAAGTAGATACTTGTTGAAAGGCCCAGCAAGAGTTGATTCCCGTCGGTCGCCATTTTGGAGGTCAACTTGTTCATATTCCTTCATTTAACCAACTTTCACATTTTAAATTGGTCATTGTGGAGATTAAGGAAGCGGTTGTTTTTTTTTTTGTTTTTTTTTAAATAAAAGTTCTTTATTTCATAATATTTTTTGTACAGATTTTTCTCCAAACATTTTTGCTTTGCCCTCTTAAATTTGGTAAGACAAAGGGAAGAAAAGAAAACAGGTTGACCAATACTGTGACCAACCGATTGGGAAAAAAAACTTTTGCTAAATTCAGGCCTATCGAAAACTGCATAGGCATTTTAATTGGCATGATCGCCCATGTTCTTTGTCAGAAACTTGAGAATTTTATAAAGGAAATAAGTCACTTTACTAATAAGAGTCATCTCTCTTATCAAAGAGTCAATAAACCTTAAAGTTCAAAAATATAAATTTTATTTAAAAATAGTTTTTAAAAATATTTTACTAATGATGTTTACTTGTTATATCATTTTTTAATTTTTTAATAAACTAATAAAAAATAACGTCTCATTTCCCCATGTGCACTTTCTAAAACAATCGTAAATCTTGCTATTCTGTAGTGATCATCTTTTAAGTATTGCTATTAATACCGAGTATTTTTGTAAATTTCTACATACATGTAATACTAGTATATCGAACTATTTTGCATAAACTTGTCAAAATATATACCAGACGTCTTCAGGACAGATAAAACAAATGAAAAAAATGAATGAACACTTGAGGCCTTTTTAACAGAGCTCTAAAAATTTTCTTATACCTCCAACAGAAGTGTTGGCGAGCGCTCCCTCTTTCAACGGGCCTCTCGATTGGTGTGCATTTGCCGACCTAATTTCGCTGTAATGATGCAAATGATATATATAGGATCTCCTATGGTTTGTGGTTTGATATGATTTTTATCCAACGAGTTGTGTGTTTTCTATCCACGAGCCTTGGTGAGGGGATAGAAAACACACGAGTTGGATAAAAATCATATCAAACCACAAACCATGGGAAATTCTTTTTATCACATATTTTTGTTCACTATAAATGTGTATTTTGTCTTTATTTCTAATTCAAAGTTCCCTTTCGGTTACCTCGGACCAAATAACGTAATAAATAATATTACGCTGTATGAAATAGTTCGTACAAAAATGAAAGAATTCAATGTATTTTAGCACTTTTTTTTTTAATTCATGAATGAAAATTTGTTAAAATATATCAAATAAAGTGAAATTTGACAAATTAAGTCATTCTCTCCTACATGCACATGTATTTGTTTATTTATATTACGTCACGTGACGTAGGAATACATAGTGTTGATACGAAAATGATATCACATGAGCAATATCAACGGGATAAAAGTGAAAATATGTGATAAATTTCTAAATCATGGGAAATATTTAAAAAATGTTCGAAATTCTGCCTTTCTGCAGATATTCTTATTATCAATCTATACATAATAATTATATACATGTTTTTATTGTATTGTAAACCTTTAACGAAATATTCAAAGATTATGCTCATTTTACTTGCATAAACATGACCGGTAGTTATTTTAAATTCATTTGTTTTCAACAAAAGTTTGTTTGTGCATGATGTATCATCCGTCTTTAACATGTTTTTGAACCATAATATCAGAAGCTATTTGTTCTATATCCAACCACTTCACTTCGAGTTCAGATTCTTTGTTCAAGTCTATAGAACACTTGCTGAATACTTCTGGTGTGATGTACAGTTGATAGAAATTTATATAAAAGAAGTATTCCAACAAGCCACAGATTTTCACAATAATTTATTACTAAACATGAAACATGCAACCACTCTTGAAACAGTTACGTGAACATGCATTTAGCACCATGAACTAAAACTGTACAAAATATCAAAAATGACTAGACAAAAATATACAGGCCATTAACAAGTTAAAGCTGCTCATTAAATCAGTAAGATTGACGGGGGAAGAGTCTGTCTTTGTTGCGTGGTCACGTTCGCGGCAAGTGGACATTCTGCTGATTTTCCATGGAGAATTTGAACTGTCGTCTGTCGTGATACTTTGATAGCGCGGGGTTGTTCGGGTGGTTTTCTCGGAGGTGAACGAAGTGACTGCTGGCATCAGCCGTGGAATGGCCGCACTCCTCACACACGTAAATCTTGTTTCTCCGCTGTTTGTAGGCGAAAGAGACATCCATGTTGTGGACTTTCCGGCAGTGGGACTCCAGGGAGCATCTTTGTGTGAATGATCGGTCACACTCGCTACACGAGTAAGGTTTCACTCCTGAAGAGAATTAAGAATAATTTGGTATTGATAAAATTTTAAATTTCTATTATATAAAAACGTGATTAAAGATTTCACCAAATCTACTTCAGATAAGGGATTTCATTTTTAGATAGATTCACATGACCCTAAAGTGTCTATTTGCTTAACTGCCAGTCGAGGTCTCAACCGGAAGTCACCAGTATAACACCCTCAACTGAATCTACACTGAAGGAAAGCGGAAAGATTGTTTTCAGGTCAAAAATCGAATGCAAAGTTGAGTAGAAAAAATGTGATGGATTTTTTTCTAAACAATAAGAAATGGTAATGATTTTAATTTAACGTCCGTAGCCACGAATGCGTAAGGTTTTCACATAGATCTGTATTATACTGTGTCAGCAATCGTTTCTTTCTTCGAAGCAAGACAATTCGGTCCATAATATAAATTCAGTAAGTGTAAATTCTTTGTTTCGAAGAAATAATAAATACAAATTCCATGTAAAATTTTAAAACAAAATCATACTGTGTTTCATGATACTGACGTATACTAGTATGAAAATCAGCAACAGTTGAGTTTACGAAATCTTATGAAATTAATTCCGTTAATATAGACTTTGATTTTGAAAGAATATACCTGTATGGATTCTAGTGTGACGTTTCAAATCAAACGTGTCGTTGAAGCCTTTACCGCAGAAGGTACACAGGTACCTCTTGACGTCACTGTGACACTTGAGGTGGCGATTCAGTAAACGCTGTAATCCAAATTCCTTGGAGCAGATCTTACAGATGTACTTCCCTTTACCCGTCTCCGAATCTGGACAAAGAAAATAAACAATATTTAAAGGTCTGTTCTTAAAAAAAGTCTGAGTCGAGGCCCAGAAAGTAACAGATGGTCTAATTGTATCCCATATTGGAAAGATTTAAAATTCTGTTGAATAATATTTTTACAATTTTAAAAGCATCTGATAAACAAATCTGTGACACGCGTCTGAAACTGTACATCTGTTATTTTGTGAAGCGTTTGATTTTCCCAATTTGTGTCAATATGGCCGACCTGTTGAGTCTTTACCTTGTTGAATGTTTGTTATATCGGAGGGTTTAGGTGCACTATACGAGGGGTTCTTGATTCCAAAGCCTCCATTTACCAGCTCAACCACAGGGGAGTGCTGTAAATCAAACAAGAACATAAGCAAAAACAAAGCAAAGAGAATGCAATCGTATAAGTATTTCTAAAAATAACGAAAAAATATGCATAACTTAAAATTAATATGGCCAAGACTTCGTTGTTTTAAAAAGACGCAGTGAATTTTTAACAAAACCATTACTAGAAAGTGTTCATAATATTTATCAATTATAGGTCAAAATCGATAATCGAAAAAATAACCCTACTAACCTCGTTAGAGAGAGGTATTTTCTCAGTCTTGGTTTTAAGGTCTGCAAATTTTGGCATCAACACCCTGGCCAACGATGGCTTGTTATCAACAGCGAAGACAGGATCGTTTGGTCGAGATACTGACGATTCCAACTTTGATGACGTCACAGGAGGCGACCCATAGACAGGAACTGGTGCCGATTTCAAAGGTGTATCCAAATTATTCTGTGAAGAATTCGGGGCTATTTTACGCTGAACCATGAGTGGAGATTTGTAAAGTTCAGGGGTCATAAGATTATCAGCTCTCCCAAAGGATGGACTGAATGGCGAGAGGACACAATGTTGTAATGGTGGCATAAGTGGTCGCAGTGCAACATCAGCAAATGCTTTAGGTGAGGGTTCAAATGCGCGTTGCATGTAAGGGGAGATAGGGGATGGTGTCGTTGAGACCTGGTACAAAGTTGGATATTCTGTTTTGATGACCGGGAATTTGGATGGAGTTTTGCTCTCAGTGAAAGGCTGAGTCAGTGGCAATACACTCTGTGTATTGTTTTCGAGCTTGATTTTCTTGGCATTTGGTTCCTCTTCGTGTCTTGGCAGGAGACGCTTGATTGTCACGTTGACGTCGTCTACTGATGGTTCTTCTTTCTTTATCATGGATTCTACTGTATGTTTGATGAGACTTCTTTTGGTATCAGGTATAGTAAGCGTTCCTGCAACACTGACACGATGAGAAGAATCGGGGGGATCGGAGACTGGTTCTGTCTTTACTATTGGTTCTCTATCTGAGATTTGGTTTTTAGGAGTGTATTCGTGAAAAAGAGGATTCCAGATCTTCGGTTTTAGAACAGCTCTCGCTTCATCTGTACGACTTTTAGAAGAATTGTCAGCAATGTTCTCGGCTTCTTTAACATTACTTTTTGTAATTTCTGTCGAAACATTAGTGATGTTTGCCTTTCTGACAAAAGTGGCTGGACATATCGTGTCTGATGCTTCCTGCTTGATCCTGTTTTCGCCATTTGTGAATGTAGGTATATTTTCTTTTCCATAGGTAATTAAGCGACCAAATTTAGCGGAATTCTTCTTTGGCGATTTTCGGGGAGATTTTCGGGATGTAGTCGTCAAAGATTGGGACGTTGTAGTGTTTATTCCTGGTCTTGGGGTATTTTGGTTTCCCCTCTCTTGTCTAACATTTTCAGACACGGGCTTTGTTTGTAAGTTACGGACCATATTGTATGCCAGCGTTGCAAATGAAGGAAGTTTATGTTGAGACTTTAATGGGACAACGTTCTCAAGGTCACAATTTTCAGAGTTGTTCTCTCTTTTTCTGTTGCTTTCACTAGTACCTTCTTTAGAGGAACACTGCGCAGCCGCTGTTGCTAAGATATCTAGGGAGGACTGGCGAGAATTTCCCTCGCTAGATTTCCCCATTTTTACAATCTTTAGCTGAGGTGGATTAGAACTGTTTATCTCCTGAAGTGGTTTTATTTCTATAGTCGTTCTGTTTGCTAGGGTTTTCTCCATGGTATTTTCTCTTTCTGTCAAAACAAAATATGTACATATATATTGTACGTAAAAATAATTGATATGTAGAACTTGAACTACAGGCAATAAAATTAATAAATAACGTAAATTGTAGTTTTACTCTTCTTTAGCGTGAATTTGCGATAAGAACTTTTAGTTCTACTTTATTCCCCAAGATCAGTTTTTGTTCTTTTCATTTCACTTGAAGAATTTTAAAACATATATTCTGCACTGAACAGTAGATGTATACATATCACAGAAGAACCCAGGCGTTAAGGATTAGAAACTCTACAGATTTTTTAAGTGCATGAATTCCGACTTTGAAAAACTAAATATGAATTTGTACCACCTAAAAAGCATCTCAATGACTGTAAGGAAAAGGGTTTATATGCTGTGAAGTAAATACTCTGAGATAAGATTGGACAAAAACTTCTCCAAGTCCCCTGCCCCTTTTTTTTATTTTCTTTGGATAAGGGAATTTAGGGGGGGTTACTAAATACGATATATCAAGGATACATCTGTCATAAAAAATTAGCTCCTATATTCATGAAGAAACAAAAACTAAACTGAACTTTGAGAAGCTCATAAAGGTTAAAAAAAAAAAGACAGCTTCACACGTTTTAACTATGCATATGTAGCTGTAATTTCTTACTGAAAGCTTTTTAAATTAAATAAATTATACACGTGTAGACACTGAACACCCATTTTTTACCTAATTTTTCAAGCAATTTTTTCACCTATAAATCTGGGTCCCAAAATACCTGACATTTTTTTTTTACCACCCTTAAATTGTTACCTGTTCAGCAACAGGTGTAAATTGTTCTTCACCCCTCGTTCACCCAGAAAATCCGGCGACACGGTTTTACAGCTATCTAAATCTGATTGTCAGGTTGGTCCGATACAGATTTCCTACAGATGGTATAACATTGAGAAATAAAAACACGACCCTAGGAGCAGCAGAAGTTGACCCACAAACTTCTGATTTGCTGGGAGCGCGACAGGTGTACTAACTGTTTTTAATTCCTCCAATTTGGGGTGAATCAGCTCGTGTGGCCCATTCAGAGAGGCAGGATTTAAGTCTTTAACAATGACAGTGTAACGGAAATCTTAATTCCTTCACGGACGGCCATGAAAAGTTGACTGGGATACACAAATCGACATAAAATTTTGAAAAGGGGGATCTAAGCAGAATTTGAGATCATTTTACGGATAATGAACAATTTAGTTGCGCTAATTAAATGAAATGGACAAAAATATTTCTCGTTGTGCAATATCAATGTTACGCAAATTGTGTACGTGAAAGTTTAATGTTAATTAAAATTAACTGAAATTTGTCTAACTAATATTTAGTTCTATAGCACTAAAGATGTACTTAAGGAAAATTAGAATACTTGTAGAATATTAATCATATAGACTTACGTAAATTTGACGTATTCATGTCCGAATAGTCCCGTGAATCTGAATAAAATGATTACTTTACCCTAGACCCACTCTGATAAAGGACCAGAGCATCATAAACTTGTATATACAGTAATCAGACCCCCGGGGAGAGGGAGAGGGCTCAGGTGTGGGCCAGGTTATTTATGATCCACAATCAATACGATTAATCCCATTGTTTAAGAAAACAGTTGTGAACTGGTTTACATTTAGTTGATATGTGTTTTACAATAGATTGATAGATATGATCGTTAATGAAAATAGCCCAGAGCTAGCCGGGTGGCGGGCGTTTCTGAAGTCTATTAGAACCTGTCCGTTAACGAAGCAGCTCGACTGTCGAGTACCGTTAACATTTTGACAGCTTTCTTTTATGAATTCATAAATCAATAATATATTAGCTAAATTTATTGAAAGAAAAGCCGAGAAGAGAATAAAAAAAAATATATAAGAAAGATGAGTTTTCATTAAAACTAGACATAATTAAATAAATGCATAAACATGTATGAAAATAAAGTTATGAAATATGAAAAATGATATTAACCACGCACAGCGTGTGAAGACCATACGTTCTTTTTCCCTGTAAAAATATCAAACATCTGGGATTTTATGACTGTTATTACTTCGTTATTTATTGCACGCTTATTTATCAATCTTGGAATGCTGTGTACCACCACGCATATATTTTTTTACTATTCAACGTAGAGAACTGAATAAAACCAATTTTACTGTCTACTTTCTTTCAAACCTGTTTGCAATTGTCTTATCTTAAAAAGATTTAAAAAAATAAAAGTTTATATATGTATTAGAAAAAAGAGTTTCAAGACATCCGGATTAACAAGGACTATTAAACCGTTGCTTTTCTGGTGGATATATATTGCATGAGTAAATATTAGTTTATTTTAGTTAGAATCAACATTCAGTTTGTGAATATATTTATTCTGGCGCCTTTTGAAGTCAATCAATAATTCTCCTTTCTCACTATTTTTTTTCATTGATCCATTCATTTAACACTTCGTTTATTCCCCATATTGATAGTTAATTCACGAGCCACGCATGTTGTCTTTTAATGGCCGAGCGAACCCGCTAAATGAACATTATGTAATTTTTCATTTCTAGTCAAAATACAAACTTGTGAAAAATAACAGAGCTTCCTCCTGGAAACTGTTGGAAATAGTTAGGGGCAGTTCTGACGGATAAAAGACTGTCGTAATGGCGCGATGGGCAGATAGACTAATTATTTGTAAGAATGGAGGGGTGGCGGAGCAAAACTCGCTCTCCACACTTCTTTTCTTTACATAAAAAGAACAACTGTTACTTCTTAAATGAAGGAATAGAGTCCCGCATTACTTTGGTTCGCAAAAGAAAAACAGGGAGAGGTGATAAAAAGAACTAGAAAGAAAATTGGATTAAGCTGTTGCAAAAATAAATAAAGTAAAAAGTAATTCTTTCATTCCTTATTAGCTTTCGCGTGAAAAAGACATCAGAATAACAATTGGGAATAGTTCTGCTAATGTCCACATGTGGTTAGCGGGAAAGTGGACGATAAGATAGAATAAGAATTGATAGATATCAAAACCGACATGTCAGCAGACTCCGTGTTTTGTTGTTCGTACAAGACCTTTGTTTACCATCTTATACCTATCTCCCTAACAGGTCTGTTGCTACAATTAAGGACCTACATAAAGATAGTATATTATGGGACTTAATTTGCGGGGTTTGTCCATTAAGTCGTCTTGCTAACGTCTTATCGAGTTCAAGATCAACTACCCAACACCATTGATTCATTAATGATGGCTGGGAGGCCTATCTAACCATGTTTCTACGGAAATCATACACGCACTATTCCGTTTGTTTACCTGGTGATTTGGTTATCAGGAGATTAAATTAGTATCTATCTTTTAATCCAATATTGTGCCAAAGTAGATTTATTTTGACACCTTTAATATTTTGTATATAACGTTGATCCTCTCAGATAACGCGTAAAAAAGGTCAAATTTCTCTCCACAGGAATGATTAAATTATTAGCGTTACTTAATAATTCATCACAAATTTTTTTTCAGCGCTCTGAATTACATTTGATTAAAAAATACCGAAACACGCGCGTCTTAAAAAGCGATATTGATTTTGAAGGATAATGTTTCATGTTTCGGTGGAATTTACTAATATCTCAATCAATATTTTCCGTGTCACTTTTGGTGATGATGGCGCTAATTAGGATGAAAACCATCATGGCAGGTGCTTCTGATGCTGGTAACACTGATTACATCATTATCTCTTCAGAAGTACTGTTAAATTAACACACACCATATTTTTTTTTAATATCAAGTTGTTTAATTCAAAATTTACTTTATTTTTCATTTGTGACGTTTCTTGTCATCTTAATTATCGGAATATGTACGGTTACAATCAGATGAAAGTGTCATGTAATATAAACATGTCACTTCATAAAAAAGATGAAAAAATTAAAACTAACTGATCAAGATAGTTACATGTTTCCCAAAGGCACATAAATGAAATATCAAAATTCATTAGTCGGGTAACGACATATGTTTACTACTAATCGATAAAACTGGAATTTGATGAAAAATTGATAAGAAAATGTAAAACATTAGTCCCGCGGGGAAACATGTTAAACCTGAAAAACGGGCACAAGTTCGGCTAGACTACCCTGCAAGAATTACAAACTAGTATAACCACTGCAACCAGAAATACGATGAACCGATAACAATAAATATGATAATGACTTAGTTAATTACTTCCACATGTTTAAGAATCTATTTTCAGTTAAGCAGATTTCCGAAGAAAACTGTTACATGACATGTCTGGCTTTCTTGCGGAACCATCCTGATCCTAACTGTTATCAATGAGTGGTACTCACCAAAAACTCGTCTGTCAGGCTTCAGAAAAACACCTGCTTCAGCAGCCAAGTCTCTCTGACCAGGCTCTGTATTTTGTGGATGACAACTGTTGTTTTCTACCGATGTGGGCTCGTCTCGCCAGAGAAGGAAAGTCCGTGGCATGCTATACATTGGTTCAGCCGTGTGGACTTGGTCACATCAATAAACACGTTACCACGGACTGTTATTGTGTTTGTAATAAGCGCCTTTCATTAAGATAAGCACCAGTGCGCATGCGTTTAGATCGATCTCTCCTGTTGGTGCCGATACGATTATTGTTATGCTAATGAGAATGATTCTCTTGTAGCGGTAATTTTTGTATGATGAGAAAAACCGTTGAATTAAACGGATGGGAAGGCATTACAATGGTAGGCAAATAAAAGCTTCTGCGCCTATTGTATGAGTTGTCCATGTGTTTACTTTTTCCATCTCTTTATTTAGCATGTCAATATATAAATACAAATACTGGAAATGACTGTTCCTTCCAAATATGCATTAATTAAATTAAGCTTTGAAGTGTCACTAGAACAAATACCATCTTTCCTAACTCTAGAGAAAATTGTTATGGAGAGGTGATTAATTTTTCACGTCTAAAATTCAGATGTTTCCCAACAGATCTTCAATGCTCGTC